ATTTGTCAAATTAACCGTTTATAAGATTCCCTGTTTGTGTGAAAACAACATCTCTAGCTCTCTCTCTGTCTTACTTGAAAGCTTCGAGAAGATAATATTATTATTGTTGTTAACATTCATACCAAAAACAAAAAGAAGATAACNATTATTGCATAAGCAATGACCTCATCTTTCCTCCAAAATATCTATTCGTTTATTTAACGACAAAATTAGTAATTACCCCCTAAACAAAGAAAAACTCAACAACTGATTTGAGTCCATAAAATTATAATCAATTTTGATTCAATGGATTTAAAAGAGTATCACCCATCTCCATTAACGATAGAAAAATTTAGAATCTGAAGTTGTCTTGAGTAAAATAAATAACCTGAAAAAATATGTTAGATTTTTATGAGTATTTTTCTAATTATATATATCTGAAAACGGAAATAAATGGAAGTTGTGCTTATCAGAAACAGAAGTCACTCACCTCACTCTCACACGACACATAAAACTGAAAGCCCCACTTCAACACCACAAATTAAACTTTCACACTCAAACCAAAACTTTAGAAAAGAAAAAAAACCAATTTTTGTGTGTGTGTTTTGTTCTTTCAATGGAGCTCCTGAACACGACCAATCTCTTAGCACTAGCTTTTCTGATTCTTGTAGTTCCAAAGATATATGAAGCTTGTTGGATCCTTGTTTGGCGGCCATTGATGCTATCAAGAAAGTTCAAGAAACAAGGAATCTCGGGTCCAAAATACAAGATCTTACACGGAAACCTCCCCGAGATAAGGAAGTTAAAGCAAGAAGCTAAGCTTACGGTTCTTGATCCAAACTCCAACGATATCTTCCCTCGTGTTTTGCCTCATATCCATCAATGGATGTCTCAATACGGTGCCGTTTTAATTCTCCATCTTATCTCTTGTTTATCTTCCGTTTATTTAGGTTTGTGTTTCATTAGACAAAGATGCGTTACTTACAAGTTACAAATGGTATATTAGGAGAGACGTTTCTTTACTGGCAGGGAACAGAGCCAAGGATATGCATCTCAGATCATGAACTTGCTAAACAGATCTTATCGAACAAGTTTGGTTTCTTTGTTAAATCAAAGATAAGACCTGAGGTCCTTAAACTTGCTGGTAAAGGACTTGTCTTCGTAGATGGTCTTGATTGGGTTCGTCATAGACGAATCTTGAACCCTGCTTTCTCCATGGACAAAATCAAGGTTTCTTTTAATAAATTTGTTGTTTATCATATCGATTAGAAGATAGAATTTTGCTAAAATTTTGTAGTTTCTTTGTGTTATTGATCAGATTATGAGCAACTTAATGGTGGATTGTACTTTGCGGATGTTGGATGAGTGGAGAAAACAAGGGAATGGTGGAAAAACAGAGCAAGTGCTGATGTTGAACATAGAGTTTAAGAGACTAACCGCTGATATTATAGCGACTGCTGCGTTTGGAAGCAGTTACGCGGAAGGAATCGAAATGTTTAAATCACAAAGAGAGCTTCAAAAGTGTTGTGCAGCTTCTATTACTAATGTCTTCATCCCTGGAACTCAGTAAGTGTGTATAATCACTCTGCTACTTCGTTGATTCATTCTAGGGTTTTTAAAGATTGTTTTTGTTTCTTGTATTGTAAGGTACCTGCCTACACGTTCGAATATTCAAATTTGGAAGCTTGATAGGAAAGTGCACAATTCTGTCAAAAGAATCATAGACGCAAGGCTAGAATCGAAATCGAAGAACGTAGAGTCAGATTATGGAGACGATCTTCTTGGAATCATGTTAACATCTGCAAGATCCAACGAGTCTGAGAAAATGTTGAGCATTGATGAGATCGTAGAAGAATGCAAGACGTTCTTCTTCGCAGGACACGAAACTACTGCGAATCTATTGACATGGAGTACGATGTTACTTAGCTTGCATCAAGATTGGCAAGAGAAACTCAGAGAAGAAGTTTTTAACGAATGCGGTAAAGACAAAATACCAGATTCAGAGGCCTGCTCCAAATTCAAACTGGTAAATGCAAAATCGTTAAATAGTTTCTTGCGGTTAAAGTAACCTGTTTATCTTAACCTAATACAATAGGTTTCTTGTGGTTGAAGAAACCTGTTTTATCTTAACCTAACGCTTACGGTTACTCGCTGCAGATGACCATGGTGTTGATGGAGGCACTTCGTCTATACGGACCGGTGTTAAATATGATCCGATCAGCAACCCAAGATATCAAATTAGGAAACCTAGTGATCCCTAAGGGCACGACGATAGTCCTCCCGATTGTGAAGATGCATAGAGACAAAGCCGTTTGGGGAAGTGACGGCGACAAATTCAACCCGATGCGATTCGAAAACGGAGTTTCACGAGCCGCTAATCACCCAAACGCTCTCCTCGCATTCTCAATGGGACCAAGAGCTTGCATTGGTCAAAACTTTGCCATGATGGAAGCCAAGACCGTTCTCGCCATGATTCTTCAACGTTTCCGGCTTAATCTCTCCGGCGAGTATAAGCACGCGCCGGCGGATCACCTCACTCTTCAGCCTCAGTACGGTATACCGGTAACTCTTCAACCTATTTACGGTTGAAGTATGTAAATGCTTCCACATTTACATATGGACCTTTATTGGGTAAACAATAACAATAAATTGGGTTTCAGTTATGATCATTTTAACATTTTTTGTGTAAACTTATGTGTTCACAATGAAGAAATTTCAAAAACTTCTCTAACGAATCATGAATCAACGTGTATGATAAGCCCGGACCCATAAGATGTTTACATTGTAATTGTAGAGATTTTATAATTCACACAAATAGACCCCAAGCAAAATTTTAAATTTTGAAGACTATAAAACTGATGGAGCTGATTTTAAATCATTGGTTCAATAACACCCCCTAAAACAAAAAACAATAACAATAAATTGGGCTTCAATTACTCTAGGCACCACCAACTCTCTTAACATTTACTGTGTAATTAATTTTGAGAATGACGTATATTTCTTTGGAGTTTAATATACCTCGCCTTAATGCGTTTTTATTACGGTATGTCTTCTTAACTGCTATCTCCTACATTTGGCGTAAGCGGAATGTTAGGCGACATGGCAGACCTCATTCATGTCCTCAATAGTTGTTGACTCAGACCTCATTCATGTCTTCAATAGTTGACTCAGATCATTGATACAGCTATA